AGGCATGGCAGCACAACGTGTGACAAGAGAGAGAGAGAGAGAGAGAGAGAGAGAGAGAGAGAGAGAGAGAGAGAGAGAGAGAGAGGTGGCAGCACTTCGCACTGAAATGCATCACAGAACATCGAGTCAAGCCATAAGGCATGGCAGCACAACGTGTGACAAGAGAGAGAGAGAGAGAGAGAGAGAGAGTCATGGCGTTGTGTTGCATGGGAATACATGGTGGCACAGCATGACGCATCAGAATGTATCGCACCGCACGATTCGACCATTTTCGGTTGGATAGGACAGTAGCGACCCGTTGACCACTCAGAGAATCTACGCCATGGTCATGGCCAGTCTTAGGACTGTGCGATTGGCCATGGATCATGATTATTGACTAGGGCACAGCCTTGATTTTCCAGAAATTAGGTTTTACAGTTCGTGAACTGATAGGAGTCCTATTCCTCTTCATCCCGTCTACTCTGCATTCCCTCATCACCTACCACTCTCCTAATCTCTCTCCTCCACCTCAGGCTCTTACTCCCATCCTCCAACATACAGAAGCAGATTCACGGTAAGCATCTTGCCGACGAAGAATGTTCCAGATTAACACAGGTCATTCTTTTCTTTCTGGCGCCCTTGAACTCCCATCCCTGATAGAAAAGCAAGAAGATTCCCAAACTGAAGTACTCAGCCAGTCAGAAACTCCGCGAAGCCTCACAAAGGTTGCATCCCGAAGCAGATTAAAGAGCCTAGCTCAGTTGGTAGAGAACGAGAGTGGCATTCAGGAGGTCGTGGGTTCGATTCCCCCGGTCTTCATTTGAGCCCCCACGGCCTCCTGCGGCTCACTACGGTTTCACCAGCCGAGTTAGTTGGTTCGACCCCCCTGATAGGGTTTGGTAGGGGGTCGGATCCCCTCCCATCCATTGCCCGGGGTTAGGAGGAAGCTGCGGTGCTTAGACACAGGTGGAGGTCGGTGACAACCCAACCCATAACCCTTAGGGGCCCCAGCTGGTATGTGTAGATAGACTACAATCGACCAAAAACGCTAGTGACTGGATGTAGGACTTAGTTAGGAAGGACAGGTAGAGTGAGGCATACGAGTGAAGAATATAGCTTAGTTTAAAGGGGGGTGGGAAAAAGAGCCAGTGGGAATCAGTGGCGACTTCTCAGTATTCTAGTGAGCTCTGGCATTGTCAGCAGCAGTAACTGTTTTCGGAATTCTAACCCTGTCATTTTCCAGAGCATGCCGAATGAAGCACATCGTAGATCAGCATGGAGGAAGGACAGTCATTCCAGGTACTTTGTCAGGCGGCTTTATATTCCCACGATCACAACTAACCCTCTACCCCAAACTAACGGTTGGCACAATGCCACCTCTGCACACAGATTTTACTTTCACAACTGCAACATGCAACTTTCAATAGCTGACTCTGTTGCCCAAAAGCGGGTGGAAGTTGAGGTTTGGCAAAAGCATCGCAGTTGTTGTGTGAGGATACTGGTTCAAAATCCAGTACAGATACATCACTCCGAAGTCTGAGACAAGACTGGCCATCCGAAACAGGTCTGCAGGGTCCGTGAATAGCAGAGCGGCATACCTGCCAACAGCCGACCCCGGCCGCCGACCGTTTTGCAGCCAACCAGTAGGGCCGCCCGTTTTGCAGCCGACCAGGAGGGCCGACCAGTCAGAAAACAGCCATCCACTGTTTTTTTTTCAAATCCGAGTTGGGGGCTGTACTGAGCTTGTTGAGTACAGCCCAAATCTGCTGAGAAACTTTTGGGGATTGGGGGGGGGTAATGGGGGGGAGGGAGGGGATAGGGGGTATTGGGCTGGTATAGGGGGTATTGGGGAGGGTATGACTACTATGAGGGTGTTGGGGTGCAGTTTGGGGGTGTTGAGGGGGGTGTGGGGGGGGTGTATGGGGGTATTGGGGGCGGGTATGGGGGTGTTGGTGGGGATATTGAGGGTTCTGGACCCAAATATATATATATATATTTTTATTTTTATTTTTTTTGTTTTTTTGGCGGGGTGCCGATGACCCCCGACCAGTAGGTGCCCTCCAGCCGACCGGTCAGCTGGTCGGCAGCTGACCAGTCAAGGGGCACTGACTGTCAGGCATGCAATACTGGTGAATAGGTTAAAATGGAACGTGGTCCAGTCTGTGTCTTGGATAGAGAATATTGTCAATGCAGTGCACGAACCGAGCCAGAAATGGGGCTGAACAAGCATGGAACAAGTCTTTGGGTTGTAACCTTTGGCTGAAGTCCAACTTCTAGGGTCCAAAGTCACTCTACTGGGCCTTAGAAATGTCTGAGAAGGCCTTAGGTAGGTGGGACAGAGGTCCAGGGTTGAAAAGATCTGTACAGGGCATGAAGATGTCAACTCTGGCCCTAGGGAATTCAGCAGACAGACCCTACCCGGGGACTGGAGTCAAAGATGTTCCCAGACTCAACCACGTGTAGAAATCACAGAATCCAAAGGCTCAGCAAAAGTTTTCGGAAACTTGCAAGGCACCCAAGGTCTAGGCACACACTGGCTGCGGAAAGTTTTTTTTTCTGAATCGTTTTTTGTGAGTTCTTTATGATGTGAGGTACATGCCTATTAATTTTGAAGTCTGCCCACCCATTCCTCATCCGGGCACTGGCTGCATGCTGCGCAAGCGCTGCTGCGCTATGCGCTGGCCAGCGCTCACGCGCTCACGGGCGAGCTGGAAGGCGCAGGCAGCCATATCCGAGCTGCGCTGCTGTATGCTGGATGGGGCGCATGGTGGTCCTTGGGTGCATGTGGTATCTGTGAGTTGGGGATTGAGGTTATGAGTGAGGTGAGAGACATACCTGGTGCTTGAGGCGAACGGCATTGGCCGAAATCTGCTCGTACTTCGGGGAGCTGTTGACGCCATCAGCGGCATTGTAGATAGGCTAGATAGGATCTGCCATTTGTAGTCTGGGCGCCGGGTGCCAGATAGGATGTCAACATTGGTCTTTTGTTCATGATGATGAGACTATTCAAACATTGTCACATATGAGCTTTTGCTGTGCTCTTATTTGGTGGGACTCGTGATGCAATTCTGCTTTTGGTTCGAGGTCACGACTATCTGGTCTTATGTGTATGATGCTGCTTGGTTTCTGAAGTACGCTATCGCTCATTTTCCTTGCATTAGTTTTATTTTCTGTATTTTAATTTTTAATTCAAATTTGGTAAAGAATTTGGATGTAATGCTCAGGCAAATGTTGTTTATTTTATTTTTCTTCATAAGAATCATAACATTTTTTTTGTCAGATTTTTTTATTTTTTTTTTGGTCCGTGTTCGGCCCGAACGACCGAACGCATCCCCAAGGGCTCCCGTACATTTGGGCGTTCGGCCCGTCCTGAACGTCAGTTACCCTGTATGCATATATCGTCACAATCACCGTCGTCTTCCTCCTCCTCCTTTCCCTCCTCCTCCTCCGTCTTGTCTTACCCTTCCACCTACTCCAACTCATCTTCATCTTCGCTCCTCTCCTTCCTACCCGTCTTTCGCCCTCGCACACACCACTTAGCGCACACTTTTCTTTTTTGTCTCTTCTTGAATCTTGCTAGTCTTCTTCTTCCTCCTCCTCCTCATCATCTTACTCTCCACCTGCTTTGACTTGTCTTCGGCCTCCTCCTCCTCCTCCTCAACAGACCTTGATCTCGTCTTTGGTCCCCTCGTCCCCTTTCTCCTCGTCTTTGCCCATCGCCTACATCGCACGGCACACACTTTTTTCTCTCTCTCTTCTCAGATCTTGCTCATCTTCATCCCCTTCAACGGCCTACCCCTCCACTTGTCTTCAGCCCCAACGCACCTCAGCCTCGTCTTCATCCCCTTCCTCCCCTTCCTCCTCGTCTTTCCCCATCACACGCCTTTTCTTTTCCCTCTTCTCGGTTCTACACGGTCGTCTTCCGCCGCCTCCTCATCCTCGCCTTAATTCTCCACGTACTCCGACTCGTCTTCCGCCTCCTCCTCCTCCTCAAAGGACCTCGACACCTCATCTTCCTCCCTCTCCCCTCCTTCCTCCTTTTCTTTCACTCTTGTGAGCGCCACATGGCAGGCACTTTGCTTGTCCCCCTTGTCTGCTTTGGCATCATCTTCCTCCGCCGCCTCCTTCTCCTCTCTCCTTTCTCAGCAGGATCTTTCTACTTTTGTCTTCCCACATTACAATTCATGCTATCGTTTTCGAAGTATCAGGACAACCAGTCCTTGTGACTGCACGTCTTTTCAGACTCAGCTTTCTTTCTTTTCTTTTCTTTTCTTTTCTTTTCTTTTAATCCGGACATAATACTGTCATCTGCACAGGAATCTGGACATGCACATCAGATATGTCTGGATAATCCGGAAACGTCCAGATTTCCGGACAGTTGGATTGGACCGCCATGTCCAGCATCCAGTCCTCTCCGGCGTACCACCGGCTTGTCCAGCACTGCCATGCAATACGGTGATTATTGTTGATTTGAGCCTCACGAGTTCATGTGAGATTTGATCTTAAGCTTCCGAAGTGGGGTTTTCTACAGTTGCACCTATACAAAAGTGAAGATAGTAATGCTGCAAAAAGAAGCAAACAACACAGCAGCTGGCCACAGGAGCAGCACCTAAGTTGGTATCTTCTGTACATGATTGTGGGTAACCACAAGGTGCACATAGAGTCAGTTAATAGCACGAGCACCTGCATCTACACCATTGCACGCAGAAAATACACGGAAGAAAAAGGAAAAGAAGGAGACGAAACGCAATCTGCAAGCCAAATGCAGAAGTGTAACAGTTGCAAACTCGCAACTCAAGACAAAACAGCACTGGCCCACGGCAATTTACGGAAACTTGTAAGAGGTGCTGAGCACGGAATGAACGTTCATGGGACCACAACACAGGGTGACCACATGAATAGAAAGAGGAAGACAACAAATGCCTCACAGACTGGCAAACATCATGCCACCAATGGGGACAGGTTTTGAGAGAGGCAAGCAAACCTGATCACATGTCAGTTTGGGCATCCAGCACAGCATGGGGTAGGGCTCTGACAATGAATACAGTTTGGGAAACCGTTACTGAATACAACAGCTTGGGTAGGGCATACCTCATATTGCTCCTGGCACAATTAATGTCTCATAGAGAAGGACCAATCATCATCTCAAAGTGACAAAGGGAATCGATATAGCTGGCTGTCACTAAGGCAGAGTTCATGAGAGTTTGACAACAGAAAACAGTGCACAAGTAAGAAAACAGAACATACTGAGGTAAAGTGGATCCTGACCCATGTGCACATTGTTCCAGAGCTACCAACAGTTCGGACCACACCAAGGTCAGACGAAGAAGGGCTCGAAGACGTGTAGGGCGAACCACCACTACATCGTGAAATATCAGCCCAGCCCCTGCGGATGGAAAACCTGCGGCAACTGGACTGTCCATCCAATGAACCAACTCAGGAAGTGGAGGCGACATGGTAAACCAGGCGGGCACAAAAGGAGTGGTGACTATTTCAACTAAAGTCACCATCACAAGATAAGGAGCGAGAGATCATAAACACCATAGAGTGATATCACTGCAAGAACTGGACACTACATGTGCTTTGATGGTGGTGCTGCCCCAGAGTCCCACTTCATGACAACATTCTGAAGCCTCGCTGTAATTGGCAGACGGTTTGTGAGGACAGGGCCAATGAACACTTCTGACACTTGGATTAATGGCCACACGTGGAATACAGGTTACATCGCTGAGAGTTCGACAAATATGTATAGCGAATGAAGAGGTCTAGTGCTATTATGTGATATCCATGCACCCACTCGCTATGACCTATCTTTCAAGGTATCACGTTCAGAAGATGCCCACAGCTGTGTGAAAAAAAAAAAAAAAAAAAAAAAAAAAAAAAAAAAAACCCATCAATAAGAAAAACATAAGAGCCCTTAATGCAGGAAAGGGTGCTCAGCTATGCCACGAACCTTGCTGGATGGAAGTAGTCACACTCATGACGGAGGCACATGCCACGGGTCAGCATATCAAAGCAGATGCGTCGCGACCGATCAAATCCCCCAGAGAAGTTTCCTCCTCTATCTGCCAATCTCACATCCCAGTCCCTTTCTCGTTCCCTAAACCCTACTCGCTCCCTCTCCCTTTCTCTATCCCTTTCCCTCTCCCTCTCTCGGTCACTCCCTCCACCCAGCCTGTCCTGGGGACGATCCATGTGTCGATCCATGACCATCCCATGCCTCTCCATCCGACCACCCTCCCACTCATGCCCATAACGATGCATTACGGGACCACCAGCTGCTGCAGGAGCCAGGCCACCAGGTCCAGGACATGGCCCTACTGTACTCCCCCCTGCAACCATCTCGCCCACAGATCCACCACTAGTACCGCCACCTGCCACTGTTCTTGGGCCACCACCACTTAAAACAGCCCCATTTCCACCACCAACCAGGCCACTTTCAGGTACATTGCAGCCACCTCCCGTTCCACCACCATTAGTGCCAGCAGCTCCACTCACGGCAGAATTCACACCACTTGAAGAAGGGACATGACCATCACGTTGCTGCTGCTGCTCCCTATGATCACGGAACTGGCAGAAGACTGAGCTGCTATTGGAAGTAGGCGGTCCATGTTCCCATCCTGGAGCATGAGGAACTTCTCGAGGAGATGATGGTCTTCCAGTTGGTGGCCTGCACAATCCGTGCGACAAGGAAAGACAGCACCACTTATGTTATGATGACTAATAGCCCGCATGACGGTATACACGGGAAGACGAAGAAGAACAAAATAGACCCAGTTCTTTGAATAAGCACCCTGAATGTCGTTGGTCGTTGGACATGGAAACCCGAAGCAGAACAAAACAGCAGCTCCAGCTTGGGATTTGCAACCAGTCCTCCAGGGTGCCCACCAAGAGATCCGAAAGACCTGCATTATAGTTGGGGGATGGCGGTCATTCCCCTTCAACCATTTCCTGCCACATGTCCAACCTTATCTGAACAATCCCACAATAACACCACAGCTCTTGTAGCACATCGGATATGTCTAAACTTTGTTTGCCCCAGAAAGAGCACATCTCCCTCCCTCCCTCCCTCCCTCCCTCTCTCCACATCTCCCTCCCTCTCTCTCTCTCTCTCTCTCTCTCTCTCTCTCCCTCTCCCCCCCCCCCCCCCCCCCTCTCTCTCTCTCTCTCTCTCTCTCTCTCTCTCTCTCTCTCTCTCTCTCTCTCTCTCTCTCTCTTCTCCTAGCTTTCCCATGTGCACTCTTGCCCTCTTTCAACCCTTCCATTCCCATTCTCGGCCCTCCCCCACCCTTCTACCCCACTTCCTTCCTCTCCATCTACCCCCTGTCTCTTATACACATCTAGATGTGTATAAGAGACAGCTCTCTCTCTCTCTCTCTCTCTCTCTCTCTCTCTCTCTCTCTCTCTTCTCCTAGCTTTCCCATGTGCACTCTTGCCCTCTTTCAACCCTTCCATTCCCATTCTCGGCCCTCCCCCACCCTTCTACCCCACTTCCTTCCTCTCCATCTACCTCCCTCCCTCTTCCTCCCCAGCCTCGCCCCCCGCCTCCCCTTTTGTCATCCTTTTCTCCCCCTTCCCCACCAGATCTTCCTCCAGCCTCCCCTCCATACATCCCCCCTTCACCCCATCCCACCCAGCCCCTTGCAATATTTCCCTGCCCATGACCACCTCACCACGTAAGGGTATGCACGAAGTTTATGTCAATATCATTAGTCCACTCCTCAATTTCCATACTCCTTGCTATCTACCTAAGCTCTCTTAACTATTCCCCTTGAGCTACAGCATCAACGGCTACATTTCCTCCCTAATGCAGGCAAGGAACCCATAGCTGCTTACGCTATAGTTGGGACTTGCAAAAACTAGTCCTGCAAGATCTCTAGACATGCTGCTCGATACCGCATGACAGCACCAATATTCTACAAGCATCCCATGGACACTTAGAAACAGGTGATCGTAGGAAAGCGAGGGAAGTGCAAGCACGAATTTCTGTCTGCAAGTTAGCTCTACGCCAGTTCGAAACAAGTCCCTGCAAGGATTCCAGCACTCCTGCCGGCCACTAATGCAAAGATGTCCGTTCCTGATCTCTAAGAGAGATGGCGCATGATAATCAGAAACAGAGCAAGGAAGAGCAACCCCGTAACGAAGCCCTAAGGCAAAACAAAATCTGAAACTGCACAGTCAAAACATATCACCTATCAACTAGCATGTATAGGCCACAACAATTGACATGAAGCTTCTGTTGTCCCAGTGTCTGGGAACAGTGGGCTGGTGTCGGGCAACAATCCAGCACTGGTCCAATACAGTGGAATCAAAGGGCCAAAGTACTATACGACGAAAATGGGTACTGACTTCCCATTACTCAGAAATGGTTCAGTAAGGTGTCAGCATCCTTAAACCACCACTGGCCCTGAATCTACTTCATCGAACCTACTGGTTTTCCTGAACCTGGAGGACCAAACCTAATCGATCTGAGTCTACAGGGTCACGGGGTCACAGTATGACAGAGGTGTGCATACTTTTCCGGCCAGGATTTACTTCTGGCAATGCAGTTTGTTTTTGACTTAGTATTTTCCGAAAAAGATCGGCAATCAATCTCTTTTGCTTTTCTTAGAAAGGGCGACAGCCTTGAGTTATCATCATGGAGCTGACAGGCCCCTTCTGGGCTGACAGGCCCCTTCTGGGCTCGGACTTGGGTGCGTATTTCAGCAGTTCATGGGTGTACCAACTGAGCCAGGCCCATTGGTAGATCAGCACCCAATCTATTTCCCTAATTTTCAGATTCTTTAGCCATCGCCAAAGGCGGCACACTCAAAATTTTGCACCATGACGGGGTTAATCATCTTTGCAGGTTCAAATGTTTTTCCCTGTCTGAGAAGAACAGCACCCAGCCTCAAAAAGAAACTACAGGTGACAGCATCCAAACAAGGGTGGTGGAGGGTGGTGGAGGGTGGTGGAGGGTAGGGGAGGGTAGGGGAGGGTGGGGCAGGGTGGTGGAGGGTAGGGGAGGGTCGTGGAGGGTGATCCTGCTCGCTACATGTTCATCTAGATGCAGGCCACGGACGAAAACCTACACAAATGCAAAGTCCACACCAACTCCGACCCCGAGACAAGGGAAGGTACAGAATGAGCGGCTGCTATAGTAGATGACAAGAGAACACATTCCTTCTGGCGTATGGAACACATTGAGCTGGTTAGTCAGGGTTGATAGCCCTTGGTTTATACAATCTCAGCATAAGATCCCAAGCCCTAGGCACATCCAATCCTAGCATAAGATCCCACTACAGCCAAGCAATGCACTATTTCCTGTTGAACAGTGCAGGTCCTCTGCAGAATTGGCTGCTGGCATTTAGTCCTCAAGTCCAAGACTGGCCATCTCCAGCCTTTAAACTGTCCATCTGCAGGCTTACTCCTAACAGTTGGCGCACTAAAAACCCTGACAATGAAGGCGAAGATCCAGCTGTCCACTGCTTGTCATACACAGCTTCAATCACCTCTTTCCTGCCTATACAATGCTACTCCGGCAGATTATGGGGGTTCAAATTTGACTTGGGAATGCAGGACCACCGGAAATAGTTTCAAGGAAACATCACAGGCAGTCTGGTTTCCGGCTGCAAGAATAGCCCATCCAACGTCCAAATAGCGATTCCCAGTTCCATTCTAGACGAGTACACCCAGTAGAGTTGCCAAATGTTGACCAGATACATCGGCGAGAAAGAAACCTGACAATGCACGCCACAAACCACAGAAACACGTGGCATCTTTTCCACTGCCAACTCCTGGGCCGGTGGCAGAGTTTCACCGCTCATCTCTATGAGATGGCTATATAGATGATTCATTGTCGTGACAGTGCACCCAGGCAGCCATGATCAGCCACTTGTCTGGTCCGCAGGGGATAGTCGTGTCTAGCGAAGAAGGCATATGCTATTCCAACAGCACAAAACGTGGAATACGGTCTGGGAAGGGATTCAGGGGAAAGTCTCTCAGCAGGTTGTGACTGAGGGATCCTCCCAGCATTCACAAAGTTAGGAGCACCAGCAAAAACACTGTGGCTCTCCACAGAGCAATGCATACGCATTGCAGGAGCTCGACAATAGCACCCTGAGTCTCTGACTATACTCTATATGAGCCTTGTAATGTCCAACTCGCAGTGAGTACAAAACAGTCAGATTTTGTCTTTGATGCTGAAAAAAATACCCCTTTGTCGAGGAATTTCGTTTGTCCATGTTATTCGCTAAATTTGGTTTTGCTTTTAGCTACTTGCTACCTTTTTCAAGGCAGACCGGACTTGATCTTCTACTACAAATTGAGTTTGTTTCATATGCCCCTCTGTGTAGGCCCAAGGCCACGGCTCTTGCCCGGTTTCACTATAATAATATGACACTACACACAAACAAAGGTATCTATCGTACGTATATACTCATATAAGCCATTGGTCTTTCTTTTATAAGGCACTTCAACATATCAGCAAGCAGTCAAACCTCATCTGCATAGGCCATTTTTTGGCTCTCATAAAGAGGGCACGCAAGGCAAGGACAGGACCTGCATTATGTCAATGCGTTGATTTTTGAGGTAATTGAAAAGCTCCTCATGGACACTGCCCGTGACATCTGCAACACGCCTGACACAGCCCACAAGGTAGTGAAGGACATCCTCACCAAATAGAAGAGCCACCCTACATCCACCTTTCATTACAAACAATCAATGCCCCCCCCCCCAAACACAGGCTATGGATTATGTAGGAAATTGTCCACATCAGAGAATGCATTATGCGTGGCATACTCCCTAAGTAGTAGCATCCATTGATGCAACTGATTGCGTCCGAAAGGTGCAGGTCAGCGCGGACTGTCTTCATATGTTACTGACGACATCTTGCCTCAGTGGCAGGCCCAAGTTTTCTGGTTGGCCGCAAGGACATCTCAGATACCTTTCGTAGAAGACTTACGAGATGCTGCCGACGGATCAATTTTCAAAATGGCTTCGGTCAATAGCACTTTATTGATACCTCACCTGTGACTACCAGGAGACTGTCTATTTACTGTATAGGGTTTTCCTGGTTGGCTTTCTTGCAGTGCTAAGCCCGACTCAGGTTGACCCCAATTACATCCACAGAAAACTGGAACAGGTTCAGGAGGCAAGGTTGCAAAAGCGCTACTGGTTCAAGCAGTGCTCGGTAGAAAAGAGGTTGGCAAGAATGCCCCACTGGAACAAGACTTTGGAATAAGGAATACGACCGGACATGCACAAGGAATGCTGAACCAACCCGACAGAACCGCATAGGCAACAAAACTCAAAACAGCAGAGACATCCTGTGGCAAGCTTGATGAGGAGCACAGAACAACCCGAAGAAGCAGTTGAAGCAGACGCTCTACTACGAGAGAAGCTCTGCAAGTTATTCCGATGCATGTGCAACTCGCACCTTACAACACAGCTGTAAGGGAAGGGTTATACAGATCCACAGAATGACACTGCTAATGTACAAAGGGACTTCTAGAAGTCGAGTCCTCACAGCTTACAACCCATCTGTAAGGGGAGGGATATACAGAGTTTTGACCACACCGTCATGGGCAGAAAAGTAGCCGAGAGGGATACACAATGCTCAACTGTTTGTCCCAAGGTCGTGCTGCAGTGAGAAAGACTGTTACAAAACCAATCTTCCCGAAGAATTGTCATCACAGCAGCAAATGCCAGAACTGCACTAACCTCACATCCCGCTTGTGAGACACCGCCACACCCACCAACACCTCTTGCAGGTGAGGCACCTGCAACCCGAACAGCCATTACAGTTCACATGGAAGCCTAGCCTCTGTCACCATAAAGAGGAAGGCATGCTTCCACATGAGGGTACGGCAGCAAAGGAACGTGCCGCTTCAAGCAATGCAAGAAGGTCACAACTGCAGCAAACAAAGAGAAGTTTGCTCTGCTAGTTGGTTTGAGAAACTGCTTCCGCTGCACATACCTCTCCGTTGGAATATGTGACCGAGTATCTTAACACTTTTAACAACCGCCTAGTAAGACAAGGTCAACATCAACGACTCTTTGCCGTTCGCAAGGTTCCAGGCATATTATTTTATTATTATATACACTAAAACAGATACAAAGCATCTGAAAAAAACACTGAGTGCCATCATCAACTGAAAAACAGTCCGGTTCGGAAACACAATCGAGACGAGAATAGAAAATTGGAATGATACACAGACGATTAGCATGGCCCCTGCGGAGCATAAATCGAGGAATGGTCGAAATTCAAAAAAAAAAAAAAACATTGAAAAAACAAAAAAAACTAATAGAATGAATGCTGGGAACCACGAGTTAGAACCACAATCAGCTATACCTGTAACGGTCCCAGTGGACACAGTGACTGCACTGATTCCTGCAAATCAGATACAGGTAGAAATGCAGTCGCATGCGCTCATACTAAGGCACTAACATCCAGATCGCCTGCCAAGCATGGGACAGAAAACCCGGGTCGTCTGTGCTGAAGAGATTTACGTTGTAGTAACAGTTGTGAGACTCTTGAGAGGGAAAAAGGGGGAAAGAAAATTGAGGCTGAAGCCTGCAGGTCCCCAAGCTGCACCCAAAGCCACTCCAAATAATCAGAATACATTTCACCTCTTAAAGACAAAGCCCTACCAGTTGTAAACTACAGGCCATCCTTCAGACAAAGATTGATATCAACTTTGCTACGGTTACCACAACACTGTAACGCAGCAACATTTTGGAGGACGTCCAAACCAGCAGTACAAAGTGCAAAATCGCCCCATGGGGCCCATGCATCAATTTCATACACACACACTTCAGTTTAAGCATACGGACATTCAACATTTTGGCTGGCTCTGGAGACGAAAAGGCTGCGGAACGGCATGAACATCCTCTCAACCATATGGCAGTGCCAAAGTTTCTCAAGCTATTAAAAAAAAAACTCACCGTGACAGAGGAGCAGGCGGAGCCAGTGCAGCTGGAGCTGATTCTTCTACATCCCAATCGTACAGCTGATCATGCTGCCCATAGAATGCCAGTAAGAAGGATGGGTGGTAAGTAGCTAAATCAGTTCGACCTTCATGCCAGAGACAACTCAGACAAGTCAGAGAAGGTGAAAGCTTGAACACTCACATTCCTGCCAGTGAAAGTGGATGACAAGGCAAGTGATGCTCCACATCCATCATCATACTAACAGAAAGCGAACTGCAGCATCCTTCAACATTCAGCTGCATGGAAAGCATACTGCTATCACCGCCCCCCATACAACCAGAATACGACACCCATGGGCACCTCCCTTCCACCCATCCCCAAGCGCTGAACGCACAATGTGATATCCCCTGACACTTCCCCTCCCTCCCTTCATGTGCAGAAGGCGTATAACTTGATACCCCTAAAGACTCCATGTCTCTCCCCAGGCACAGGGAACATAACGCAGTTCAATGGGCATGGTCCTAGGGATTATCCCAGTTCAATGGTCTGAGCTCTTGTGCCGTAAGCCAGAAAGAAAGAAGCCAGTAGCATGAGATCTTTAACATTACCAGCTAATTTAAGCCTGCATCGATGTTTGCCACGCTTATTTCGCACATATATTCCAACGAGTTACGAGTTCATGAATGTCAACACTATCATTGAGCTAGATCACATATCAAAGCAAGGAGGGGGTGGGAACCCATAATAGGTTTTCAGTGCAACTTTTCAGATGACTGTTATGGTGGCTACCTTACCGTGTACCCAAGGCGATTGTGCAGATTTTCCAGAAGCTGCAACAGATAGTTATAGTCGGGTTCGTCGTGAAACTCGAGCGCACGAAGATACCTTGCAAATGACTGGAACGCAAAAAACATTGGCACAGTAAGTAATTGCTCCTTCTAAGTGCAGTCCTTGACTAACATTGGCATCTTCTAAATTCCAGCTTTCCTAGCATAATTGATACTATTTGTACTGTTTCCAAGAATATTGGGCAAGTTATGCCAACTAGCTCAATCAGTTGTCAACTAAATTAGTGTCAAGAGCTTAAATGTTTGGAAGCACCATTGATTGCAAAAGAGGTAAACACCAAAGGTAGGAACATAGCAAAATGAGGTTCCATCCACACTCACGGGTTACGAGATGAAGCACCACATTATCCATCGTCAGTCCTGCTGAAGCACTTCATGAAATTACAATCAATTTGCGCCGATTAGATGTCACACAGAGAAACCTAAACCAGGGAGGCAACATGAGTAACAGGAAAGGCATATATCCACACGACGAATCCACCTGACAAGGCTGAAAGCACTGTAGCAACAACGTTGTACATGGCAGCTGAGAGTAACGTACCAAAAGCTCCTCTGGCAGTTCAATAGTCTTCGTCAGCAGGTGAGGATTCTTGTTAAAATGAGCTTTCAAGCCACGGACTTTGTCCTGCACAGCACAGGAATAGACACAGACGATTGGGATCGTTGCCCGACCTCAGAAACCCACCAGAGGAAATGCTTGCTCTAAGGTTCCACTCCCTCACAGAAACATTCTCACCACAATGCAGCAATGCCAGGCATCAAGCAGAGAATGCATCATCATGCTCGCTAGGCATGTTCCGACTCCATCACACGTGTGTGGAGACACCAAGTGCTTGCCCCTTCTGTCACCTGGAGCCCTGCTGAATGCATGAAGGGTTGTGCAGAGTTGTCGGACCCTGCACAAGTACATCCGATGCGTTGCAATAACATGGGATGCTGATTGAGATGCCTTGCTGTCCATTGGTCACTGCAAATGTCATTGTCAGTCCACTCATATCATTGTCAGACATTCCAGTTTCCGCTAATGCTGCATCTCTGATTCATCCTTGGGGCAAGTTGACGCTGAAGAACATGCAAGGGCGTTATGATTGGCACAAGATTCAATCACTTCCCATCACTTCAAACTCTTGTGCAACCCAGAGATTGAACCCACGCTCTCAATTGCAGCTCTGAAAAACGGTTTTCGGCACACATACAACTCGTTATCACTTGAGGAAAACTTTCCAAAAGAGAAGAGATGGAGACATGACCGATTTGCACAAAAATCTCCGGAAAAAGCCCTCAATTTCCCTTACTCAATCCACCAAGGTACCGGACACACAGTCCACAATCTCCCGGTCTACATGCCTACTATATCAAACGTTCTGCCCTCCTGTCTGCATGGTTTCCGGCGAAGCCGGCCTCCCTACTCGATGCTGCCAGCTCAAACTGAACTGCCAAACCAACATCAACAATATTTTTTATCATGTTGTCTAGGAACGTTTTTGGGACCGAGTCACCACAATGCGACCAACACACTAGCCACCAGAAACACCACACAGGTTCAAATCCTGACGTCCAACCAACAAAAACCCAAAACACGCGCAAGCGGCACACCAGAGATCGAATCCCGGCTGCTTCACTCAAGCTGCAACAACAAACAAGAAACTCGGGATCAAACCCCGGTGATCCAAGCAGAGGGCCTCCTCATTTTCACAGTAGCAATCCCAATCGGCCCAGATTTTGCAGTCCTCCACTACCCGGCACCAATGCTGGACTTTGTCCAGCTCAACAGGTCAGCTCCGGATGTAGTGGTGGTTTAAGGCACCTGGATAGCACTGCTGCTGGGCCATAGTCTCATGCCGCCTATCCACCATCCAAACGTCGGCGAGCACCCAAGCACAGAGGTATTCTGGGCATTGTTTTTGGAAATCCAGGTCACCAGGCTGCTTGCGTCTATAGACTTCTGTACCATACTCACGGAGTGACGAGCCAGCTCTACCCAAAACCCACCCCCGGGCACGTGTGGGTGCCAAAGGGTGGGTCCACGTCAGTACCAGTTTCCCTGTCACATCAATAGGTACACCCATTCTACACAAGCACCCTCCCATGTGGCCAGGCAGTGACTGGTGACCGCGCGCTACCGTGGTTACGTGGCACCATATTTCAATTATTTTGGGAGTCCAAAAAAAAGCAATCCAAGCATCCAATGACAATGCCAACCAGTCTTTCAATAAATCCACGAGTAATATTTTGATATTCTTTCGAGTCAGCAGCTCATCATCTTGTGCATTTACCTTATCTGATGAAGTTGACCTCCAAGGTAGATCACCTTCTAGAAACTCAACGAGTACATATAGTAATGACCACAAGTCATCTCGCCGTCCGAGGTCCTGAAAGGGGTAAGAACGTATCCAACAGTTAAAATAAGCTATTCAGTAACAGGCTTAAGTAACAGGCAGGCAGGCATCGACCATCCCAAAAATGCATTTTAATCATCGAAGCTTCTGCTATTCAGGTTAACAAAAGGCGTGAACTGGGCAATAGAAGGGAATGCTGCCACCACCTTCTCCCACTCTGTTTGTCTGGACCAGGTTCAGAACCTATGTTGGGTATGCTACTATACTCTTTTGCGACTCCCGTTCTTTATCATTCAGTCGTTGCTGCAGATGTAAGAATACGGACCAGAGGTCTTCTGTCGCCGTGAAATATGCAACAGCAATTCCAAGCAAGGCTGAATTTCCGGTCCCACCGGGGCCCCCTTCCCCAACCGGAACCGGGCCGGTGGTACCGGCCGGTGGAGAGCGCCGGTTCCCCCCTGGTGGAAATTTGCGCACTTCGACGGGGGGGGGGGGGCGTTTCAAATTTTTTTAGGGCCGGTAGGCCTCCATGCGGGTCGTGGAGGCCTCCCGGCCCCGAAAAAAAAACAAACCGGGTCCTGTTGGCCCGCCAGAATGCTCAAAAACTGGCGGCCTATCTGGGCCGTCGATCTAGTCAGATCTGCGGCCCAGATAGGCCGCCAGTTTTTGAACATTCGGGCGGGAAACCGTCCGGAGTTCTTGGAGGCGAACAACGATCCCCAAGCACAGGCCCAACCTCCCCGCCTCCTGCCTCTGCTTTCGAACAACCATCCCCAAGACCCGTCACTTCGACACTTCGTCGAAAGTGAGCGAGGTCGAGAATGCGTCGCCCTCCCCCAAGTCCATCTGCAAGCCGTCAGCCCCCCCACGTCAACCCCCCCCACGTCAGCCCCCCCCACGTCCGCCCCGGCCAAGGATCGACATCGCCCCGGCCCGCCGTCCATTGGTAACGGTGAGTCTGTCTGTTTCTTCTTCTTCGTACTACCTCCTTCTTCTTCTTCTTCTATTCTTCTTCTTCTATTCTTCTTCTTCTATTCTTCTTCTTCTATTCTTCTTCGTCTTACTATCTCCTTCTTCTTCTTCTTCTTCTTCTTCTTCTTCTTCTTCTTCTTCTTCTGGCAGAGCCGAAGTCCGAAGTTTGCGAAGTAGAGAGAGAGAGAGAGAAGTAGTGGGCGCGCGTGGAGGAGGGTAGTGGGCGCGCGCGGAGGGTAGCGGGCGCACGCGCGGAGAGAGAGAGAGAGAGAGAGAGAGAGAGAGAGAGAGAGAGAGAGAGAGAGAGAGAGAGAGAGAGAGAGAGGGAGAGAGAGAGAGAGAGGGGGAGGGGGGCAGTGGACGTGCGGGGAGGAGGGTGGTGGGTGTGCGCCCACCATCAACCCGTGAATTTCGACCCCCCCCCCAACCCCAGGAATTTTTTTTTTGCAGATCAGTGATCACTGTTTTCTCTGCGGATTCGGGGAGATCTCGACAAGCCCAGTCCAACCCCATCATCAGAAAAAAAAAATAAAAAAAAATTGACCCGGTTTTGGCCCCAACCGGATTTCTGGTTGGACCACCGGGGTTCCAACCGGCCCAGTTGGGTCCGGTCAGGTCCAACCGGCCGGTGGCCAGTGCAGCCCTGATATGTACCCAGTTGTTGTGATTCGGGAGATGAAGCGGTAGGCTCCAGCATGGAGAGGTTGTGATATAGGAATTCCCCAGTCGCCCGGTTTCCACGAGAAGTCTTCCTTTTATAAGGTGCTCCATTGGGTAGGAATGCTACGTTGGATTTGTGTTAGGTTGGTGGCCAGCGAGTGGCATCCTTTTAGTCTGGTGCGCAGTTCTCGTTCGCTGATCCAGTCGTTCTTCTCTTGTGACCAAATTTGCTTTATTTGCCACACCCCTTTCTCCACCCAGGATAACCATGGCCCGTAGGGACCAGGGCAAGCCGTCCGGATCCTTGATCCAGGGGTTGCAAAAGAGAGGTTGCCTCAAGGCCTCTTCTTTGTTTGCTGGTGCGCCGTGTTTGCTTGGCATCATGTGCCGCCAGGCTTTTAAGGTGGGGGTCAGAATTCATTTTCGGCCTGGTAGTTTTGGCTTCTTCTGGATCTCTGGCTCAGCTGGATGCCGGATGATATGGCCGGATTCGGCATGCTGCCAAGGTAACATGTAGTCTGCTACTATGCGATCATTACCCTACAGCTAACCAAAGTGGCACATCCAAGGCAGATCGAGTTCCCCCCGCTGGAAAAAGTGACAAGTACCTGCTGGAAAATGTGACAAGTCCTTCTCCAAGGCACATGCTCGGATAACTTGCTCATACTTCTGCGGATCCATCGACTTCCCGAATAAAATGTTGTCCTGAATAGTCGCATTCTGCAGCGGAAAAGATGCAGACTCCCCATGACCACATGAAAGGAGAGGAGGAAGCATAAATAATTTAGGGTTAAGTACGTTCATGTCACCTTTGAGTATCAAATGGGCAAAACAAACACGCATCGGCAAAGAAAACAGCACTGAGTTCGGAAAGGCAATGGAAGTACCAACGGCTGTGGTGTCAGACCGAGTGCCGTATTTATAGGGGTCGGCTGTGGTGTCAGAGGGGGAAAACAAAAATAAAAAAAATGCCCAACGGATACTTTTGGACGAAAATCGCACGTGTTTTTTTTGCCGACACATGTTTTTTTTGCGTTTATGGTTTCAAGATATGCTGCGTCCGCCGTTATTTCAATAATTTAACAACTTAATAAGCACGAGGAGAACACAAAGACTTGGCAAAACAGACGGAACAAAAACATATTTGCAATCTGAACATATGGACACTGTCTGAATACATGTCTCATATGGGATTTTTAAATTCTCAGTAAGAGCGAAGTCAAAGTCATTGAGAGAGAGAGAGAGCTTACCTGACTTATCGCCTGGTGATTGCTTGCTGGAGAGACAGTACCTTGCTTCTGAGGTCAGCCTCTATAGCGCCAGTTGACATTGCCGATGGAGAGCTGGCAGATGCATTGGCAAGTTGCTGCTGAAAGGAACATCGACTTCATCATCTGTAAAGGGCTAGGTTGGAACACTGCGGCAGCGAGCAGAAAGGAAGAAGCCTGGAGGAGGGTGGAAGAGCTTGAAAACTGTATTCAATGATTATTATTACAAGCTCTCCTCCGCTGCAATTCTTCTGTGTCTTTGCCTAAGTTCTAGCCTACTTACTTGCGTTGGTGAGGTGAGCAGAGAGGAAGAAGCCTGGAGTTTCAAGGAGGATGGAAGAGCCATGAAAATTGTATTCCCTGATTATTATTAAAAGCTCTCCTCCCGGTCAACCAATGGCTTCACAAAAGAAGGAAACACTCAGACCCGAACAGCTCGGAAATCTGCGCGATGTGCAACAAAAACACGCCAGAAGATATCCCACACTGCCTACTCTTCTGTTCCGAAGCGACCTGCTACCGGAACAAAGTTCAGAAACTATGGTCTACCTCTTCTCAGCCCCACCCCCCAACACTTCCCCCCTAACCATTCTACTCCTCCCGAACACTCCCGGGCACCTCAAGAGCAGCAGGGGTGTCTGGTTCCAGCTACTCAGAAAGCTAACTCTCTGGACCATATGGAAACGACGATGCACACAAACAATGGAGGGAGCAGAGCTGGCAAAGGAAGAAATGTGGACTCTTTTGATACTCATGGTGGAGACCGAAATCCGGAGCAGATGGCGGACGATATCCTCATCAGCGAAACACAGACCAGATAAGCATGCAGCTTAGAGACGAGCATTCCGAGAGGACTGGCTAATAAAGGGCAAGGTGGCCACCATAACGGACAACAGACTGATATGGAAGAAGTGGTATCAAGGGTAACGGAAAAGCGACAACCGAACTTGGGAGCCCAAGACCGAAGATCAGTACGACAAACACAGGAACAAGCAGGGCGATAAACAGGGCGTGAGAAAGCCAAACGTGCACGAACGTCAGCAAAACCTCTCGACTTCTCTAGTTAGGTAGAGGAATATCTGGCAGGCCTATACAGCAGCCTGAGAGGAACGAGTTGAGAGTGCATGGGTCCTGGGGACCATCTCACGCAAGTGTGTACATGCCATGCATCGTACTCCCACACACAATGAACAGTAGTCTGACAATAGACAAAGATAGAGAAGATGAGGACCGAGTTTCACAGTTTATATTATCAGAAATATGAATACAAAGTGTTTCAAAGTTCCCCTGAGTCCAGCGCTCATCNGAGAGAGAGAGAGAGAGAGAGAGAGAGAGAGAGAGAGAGAGAGAGAGAGAGAGAGAGAGAGAAAGAGAGAGGGGTAGTGGACGCGCACAGAGGAGGGTGGTGGGTGTGTGCCCACCATCAACCCATGAATTTCGAACCCCCCCCCCCCAACCCCAGGAATTTTTTTTTTGCAGATCACTGTTTCCTCTGCGGATTCGGGGAGATCTCGACAAGCGCAGTCCAACCCCATCATCAGAAATAAAAAATAAAAATAAATTGACCCGGTTTTGGCCTCAACTGGATTTCCGGTTGGACCACCGGGGTTCCAACCGGCCGGTGGCCAGTGCAGCCCTGATTCAAAGGTTAAAAATCGATAAAAATATGGAACTCTGTTGAGCTCTGCGTAAGAACATTTTTTATGTTCTACAATCTACATAGTGCTGCACAGGCTCAGCCTCAAGAACATCATCTGTACGCTAGAGGTGCATCCAGTCCACTCAGACTGTGCACTAGGCTGTAGAACTGTTGAGGCCTGGCCCTGAGAGGCAGGCTGGGTCAAGCATCCCAATCAGGCCATACCATTGTGAATCCACAGCCCTTTGCTGTGGGATTACGATGCCAGACACAAGGGGCCGTAATTAGGAATCTCTAGGGAATATGGTGTGGCAATAGGCACGGACTAAGTATGCCCTATCTTCACATAGTATTTGGAGCAACTGTAGGTAGGCACGGACTAAATACGTACTATCTACACATAGCAGACAACAACAAAATCAAGCCATACTCCACTGTAATGAGGCGAAGGCACAGTACAAGTTCAGTTCTACACTCAAACTTTGATCTTAGTCATTTACCTTAAAACATAGCCTAGTCCCTGGCCCAGTTTCTGTGCGCGAGCACAATACAAGGTGCTATTGGTATGCTTACAACTATTTCCTCGAGTCATACAAGATGTTATTGGTAGCAATATCAATTCCACAGAGCCATAAAAAATGCTATTGATTTATAGCCCTGAAGGGCCTGAACCATACAAACTCCTACTGGCACCGGCATTTGTTCCCCTGGAGCCATTCCGGATGCTATTAATCCCGATATCTATTCTTTACGAAAGTTAACCAGTGGACTGTCCTTCCTTCATCTTTTTGCCAACTGACCTTAACAGGGCTCTGCATCCATATAGTCTGGCCGTTTCTCTGTTACAATGATCGCTTGTACCATGGCACCAGGGTGCCCTTCTCATTTCCTGTTGTACACTGGCTCTCTAACCCCTTCTCTAACACTGGCTCGGTCGGGGGTTTCTGGCTCTGCAGAGTCTGCACCCATATCGTCTGGCTGTTCTCTGTTACAATGATCGGTTGGACCATGGCACCAGGGTACCCTTTTCATTTCCTGCTGTACACTGGCTCTCTAACCCTTTCTCTGCGCTAAAGTGTTCCTCAAGGTGGAGAGGGGCAGCAGTTGGTCTGCTGCAGGAGGACAATCGCAAGGCAACAGTGCGTAGGAACAAAGATAACAAACACAACGGAAAGTATATGGTTTCCGATCTAAGGAGACCGTTAGTGTTTGTGGGAAACACTTCCGTATTATATTAATTTAGCACTGCTATTACCTATGTTTGCTATTCTTTTCTGCAGACGTAGCTTCTCTTTTTGTTTCTAAAGGTCTCCCAAACATACCAACAACGAAAATTCTCCAGAAATTGGTGTAACACTTCGCATCAACCTCTCAATAGCCAATTTGGCACATGTATACATGTTTCTACGTGGCAGCCGTCTTTCTGATGATTGCTAGCTTTTGTTGTTGACTTTGATATAAAATATTCCTTCTGAACGAAACACTACGGGGTATTACCAACATGATTCAATACAGGCAATGAGAGGCTCCTCCCCAACTATTTACCTACCAGGCCCACCTCCTCTTTCGAGCAAGGGTACCATATAATTGCTCAGCATTCCTTCTGTCATCACACACCACTAACTGCAGTCCAACCAAGTTATCACCGCAAAAGGAAAGCTGGGGATGTCACAGCTATTCAAACCCGAGGCCAAAACAGAGAAAGCATAAACAAGTTTGCAATGCAACAACGTAAAGAATTACGAGGCAAGGGTGGTGGAGCAAGGTCGGAGAGAAGTAGTGATTGCACTGACCTTGCACATATGAGCATTCACAGAAGCATATGACGATGTACCCCTGAATTCAGCATTATCTCTTGGCGCCACTATCTCGCCTGTATTTGTCTTGTAGCGCCTGGATAATCCAAAGTCGATGATGAAACATTGTCTCCGTTTCGGACCATAGCCCATGGCAAAGTTGGACTGCAAAGAGAAAAGAGGAAAAAGGCCAATCCGCATCGTTGGACATTGCGAACGATAACACGTTCAGTGCACACAAAGAACCAGGGCCGATCCTCTTCCCTCTCAAAGCCCACAACCGTTCTTTACTTTTTCCTGAACCAAAACAATCCTTAAAGTTTTTCTGGTGTTTCTTCATTGTTTCACTGCACTGGCTTGAAGCTCGTGAATGCACAGCACATTCATCGACAATCAAGAATAACAGGTGAGTGTCATTCCCAAGAACAGAAATTTGACGAAAGACCAGGCAAAACTCCTTCCCCTTCAGGTCACGTTCACGAATCTCTCGAGTCTCAACCATGGTTCAGAAAGGGATTGTCAAGAGCTCAAACGGTTGAAAAGAAAAGTCGACCAGTTAATGCAGGGAAGAAGCACAAAAGGTGGCAAGGATAGCTCATGGCTATCAACCAAGGCCAACATCCAGAGGAGCGTGTCAATATCCATTTTCGCGGCACAACTACCTACACATGGTCAAGCTCCAGGGGTTGACGACAAGGTACACAGTCACAGTAAAGGCAACAACCATGGGGAAGCGCTTACAAGGGCTCATCTCCGATCTCATCCCGGAAAAGTAAGGGAGTCAACCAACAAAAGTGAGGGAAAATAGAGAAGGATCCACACACCATATGGAATCTATCTGAACACTATGAGCCCCATCTTCAAGTCCTCACAGACGTTGGTAGCACCCTGAGACAACACTCTGGAATCTAGAAGAAGCCCATCACCTCAAGGACAGGCTTCAAAGCTGAACACCTTTACAATAGCGAAGGCCTTAAGTCGAGAACACCGTACAAGCTCTCTGAACAAGATGTGCCCCATCTTCAAGTGCTCACAGACGTTGGTAGCACTCTGAGAGAACAGTCAGGCATCTAGAATAGAAGCCCATCGCCCCAAGGACAGGGTTCAAAGCTGAACACTTTCACAATAGCAGCGGCCCTTATGGCAATATGTGACCCGTGACTATGCAGACTTCTCCCCATCTTCCCGTCAGTGTGTCTCTGATTGAGACCTTTCCTCATCCCAATCGTGGCAACGACCCATACCAATTGCTAAAAAGTAGCAGTTTGGGAGAGGACGATGTGTTGTGCCCTCTAACATCATGAACGAGGACAGCAATAACATTATTTTGATGAGGATAGTAGCCAGCATGATGAGGATCATGCTTGTCACATTGCGGATCCCACGCACCCACACTCTCCACTGTCGATTCAAATATGAGGTAAGACAGGGCCAGACATGTCCCATCTCTGTACTACATGAGGATTGTAGACACCGTGTGGCTATGCTGCAGCGCTGTGTTGCTATTATGAGAGTGCTTTTAATGGCTTGCACACTGTGTGTGTACTACTTGAATAGCATTGTAGGGCTACCTGCATCAGCCGCCTCCATAACACACAGCTCACCCTCACTACACCCTCGTTACACTTCGGTGCACTCGTTCAGCGACAAAGTCTGGTCATTGCGATTATAAAAAAACTACCCTCTACTCTCCGGGTGGGGATTGCGTGGGCACCAACAGGACTATGTCTAAAAATACCAGAATGATGCTGCAGCATTATCACGGCAAACTTTTACTCAGGAAGGATCACCCTCATTCCTGCCATGCAAAACCTCCACCACAATAGTATTACATGCTTCTATGGCAAGTGCAGACCTTGGTTTTGGGATAACCCAGAGCATATGACCTGAGCATCTTGTTCGACGACTTTGGAAATTGACAAGTGCAACGGCAGCGTTCACTGCCATGACTCTTGAGGCCTTTCCTTTCTGATTTCTGCAGCCAACCTAAACCCCAGCTCTCTCTCTCTCTCTCTCTCTCTCTCTCTCTCTCTCTCTCTCTCTCTCTCTCTCTCT